AAGCTGAAATTAGGGGTGGGCATGGTCGGTTAACCGGGTTTTGGTTAACCAACTTTCGGTTAACCGAGAAACCGGTTACTATTTTTTAACCGAGTATCGGTTAACCGAGTATCGGTTAACCATAACTTCGGTTAACCGCTTTGCGGTTAACCAAAAACCATAAAACCACAAAATATTAATAGTAAAATCAAATATGAATAGAAACTTCCCAAAAAATGCAGGAATTAAAATAATACACGACGTATATAATTATAATACTGCAAACTTAACAAGATGCTATAATACAAACTCCAACAAACTATAATTATAATACTACAAACTATAATAATGACATATCTAAAATCTAAAATACTGTCATTTCTCTAAAACTTTATCCATATTTAGGTATCAATCACATTTATCTAAACTTTATAGTTTATTCATAGTCAAGTCAATGTCTATTCTACTATAAATATAATTCAATAAGTTGACAGAGTCACATATATTACAAACTCCAGCAAATATAAACTCCGTTATATTTGTGTACGACTTAAGCTAGATTAATAAGATTAATATTGAACTTTCTATTTAATACTCCGGTATCAAAGTTATTTGAGAATTGATGAAGTTCTAATCTTATTAATTATTACAGAATAAAAATTAGGCGAGTTGTTTCATATGTATCTAGGATTCCAGGTAGTATTTTTTGAAATATGCGACCAACGACCTTAAATTAGCTTACTGGTTACATACGAAGCATGTATTATTTGAAATACCGGTTAGCGGTTAACCGGCCATATCTTATTTTCAAAACCATAACCGTACCGTGTACCATTTTTTCTTGCGGTTGGTTAACCGTACCATGATTTAATTAAAATCGGTACGATTAATCGAAAAAAATAACGATTTTCCGGTTTTTCGGTATGGTTAAACGGTTACGGGCTTTTGTGCCCACCCCTAGCTGAAATGCGTGCCGCCCAGGTTGCCTGGTGAATCGGTCAAAAGTTGAAAACATGCTCGCGGAGTCGATGGTAAGATGCTCGGTAGAATTTATTACACTCGTCCGAAAAAACAACTTGAAGATTTTTTCAACCAAAATCAACAGTCCGTGTCGCAAAAATCTAAGACTATATAAAATGTAAGACTACTTTAAATTTGTCAAAGTTTATATTGAGATCTATAACGAGTTGAGTAAAAACAAAGATTGTACGTAGCATTATAATTCAAACATGATCGGACAAATGCAGACATGTTACAGGCGTGGTACCGTACCTCAGTACGAGTATAAATCTCTGAAATATCTTCGATTTGATATATTATGGCCCCCGTAACTCATTACGAGTAAAAAGTTATAACTTCTGGAAAATCAACGCTATCTAAACGTAAAATTAGCAAAATTTGACGCAAAATATAGATTATGTTTCCAAATTTTAAAAATAAGGTATAATTCACTCAATACTTACGTGACACTACTCAAAAACAGAGCAAAGACAATCTATCTTATTGCTACGAATGCCTATTTATCTAAACTACATTTAAAATATTCAACTCAGACATTGTTTAAAAACGATCCACCGTTTTCATTCTATATATAGGTTGAGTTTCGACCCCCCTAAACCGTTTTTCTGGCTCCGCCACTGGTGGTACGTATAAGTGGTATAACAAATACAGAGTAAAAAAAATCTAGGAAAAAGGGTCGAATAAGTATCTCTATTATTTCTAATCCATCACTTAAGGTCAGGTAGTAAAAAAGTATCATATAAGTATGTCTATTTTTAAAATACAATCAATCAAGTTCTTTGATTTGCTATAGCAGGTTATTTTTTTGAAAAACTAAATTACGAATATTGATAAATCTTACAAAAATTCATATAAATTTGAATAACTAATATAATAATAATAATATAAAAATAGATAAAAATTTAATAACATTAAAGTAAAAAAATAAAAAAATTATAAAACTGAAATAATAATGTGAAAATAAAAAAATAAAAATAAATACTTTAGAAACCTTTTAAATAGATGTCAAATATACAAATATTTTTAAAAATTAAAAAATAATGATTTTGATATATATACTGAATATTTTCACAATATTTTGTAGATATTTCTTCAAATTTTAACAATTTTTTAGAATTTTTAAGTATTAAAAACTTGCTATTACAGGTCAAAGCTGATTAAATGGTCAAATTGAACAATTTTGTAAAGTAGGCATACTTATATGATACCTTTCTTAGTAAAGGGGTTTAAGTGACAGTAACACCCCGGCCCCGTAGGCCCTGAGGTAGTTACTCTAGACCAATAGTACTATCCTCACAAACCACCACGATCCTTTACCGCGCACTTTGTCCTCACTCATGCGCGCCCTGAGAAACTTCCCAGGGGGTCACCCATCCCAAGACTACTCTCGTGCAAGCACGCTTAACTTTGGAGTTCTTGGGTGATGAGCTCCCTTAAAAGGAGATGCACCTCTGTTGGTATGAGTAGTACTATTAATCGTTTAAATTAAATCTCAAGTATTACAATCACCCCCACTTAGAAACGCAACGTCCTCGTTGCGCCCATAAACCAATCTCAATCATATCCCAGAATCTTTTCCCCTGCTAAGTGTCCGCCCGATATCCAACGGATCGGCACACTGTCGCATGGTTGCTCTGATACCATTTGTAACACCCCGGCCCCGTAGGCCCTGAGGTAGTTACTCTAGACCAATAGTACTATCCTCACAAACCACCACGAGCCTTTACCGCGCACTTTGTCCTCACTCATGCGCGCCCTGAGAAACTTCTCAGGGGGTCACCCATCCCAAGACTACTCTCATGCAAGCACGCTTAACTTTGGAGTTCTTGGGTGATGAGCTCCCTTAAAAGGAGATGCACCTTTGTTGGTATGAGTAGTACTATTAATCGTTTAAATTAAATCTCAAGTATTACAGTGACGGTTTGGAAATAGTACAGGTACTTATTTGAACGTTTTTCCAAAAATCTAATTTGGAGTTGATTACTCAGTATGTCATTGAATAATTTTATTATTTGAACTAGAACTATTGAAAAGTTATTATTAGGACACATTTACTTCACGGGTTAGTAAACGGTGCTTATTAAGACTCGCGTTAATCAGCGGTGCATAAAATAAGCAGTATTGTAAGTTCATGTTTACTTCAAAGGATTTAAAACACCGTTTAACATTAAAATGTCCAAAATAACCCTATAGATACACACACACACATTCATGAACACAAGTATATAATATAATATATATGTGGGGTCACCTTGTACACTTGGTCGCTAACCCACACCCCTAACCCCGACCCCGTAGGACCCGAGGTAGTTACTCCACACACCCTTCAGACCCCTAGTACTGTCCTCACAAATCCCCACTAGCCTTTTCCGCGCACTTTGTCCTCACTCGTGCGCGCCTTGAGAAATTTCGCAGGAGATCACTCATCCCAAGACTACTCTCGTGCAAGCACGCTTAACTTTGGAGTTCTAGGTTAATGAGCTCCCTTAAAAGGAGATGCACATTGTTGGTACGAGTAGTACTATTAATCCATTTAAATTAAATCTCAAGTATTACAATCATCACACTGTCACAGGGTTGCTCTGATACCATTTGTAACACCCCGGCCCCATAGCACCCGAGGTAGTTACTCCACACACCCTTCAGACCCCTAGTACTGTCCTCACAAATCACCACTAGCCTTTTCCGCGCACTTTGTCCTCACTCGTGCGCGCCCTGAGAAACTTCTCAAGGGGTTACCCATCCCAAGACTACTCTCATGCAAGCACGCTTAACATTGGAGTTCTTGGCTAATGAGCTCCCTTAAAAGGAGATGCACCTTGTTGGTATGAGTAGTACTATTAATCCATTTAAATTAAATCTCAAGTATTACAAAAGGGGTAGGGTAAGGGGTGAGGGTGGGGGTGGGGTAGGGCAGGTGGTGGAAGGTAGAGTCGGGGTAGGGGTAAGGGGGTAGGGGCTGGGGTGGTATGGTAGGGGTTGGGTAAGGTGGTGGGGAAGGGGTCGGGATTGGGGTGGGTTGAAGTAGGGGAAGGTGGTAAGCAGTAAAAGGGTGTGTTTTTTCTGTCATAATAAATTACACGAAACTGCCATAATTGTGGCAAAAAATGAACCCAGTGTCCAAAATCGAAAAAACGGAATTTTTAATGAAATTACAAGTTCAATGAAATTGAATTCAGATCTACGAAATCAATTTCTAAAAAAACAGAAAAAATGATGTGAAAACTCAGAAAATTGAATCAAATAAAAAAAACTTCCATAAAACAACAAAATCAGTGATTTGCTTGATTTCTAAATGAAAAATAGAGGAGGGGAAGAAGAAGAAGAAGGATCGGAAGAGGAGGAGAAGAACAAGGAATGAGAAGAAAATCTGGAAGATGGGGAGCGACGATGGTAGCAATGAAGAACCAACGGCTGGTGTAGAGAGGTGTGTGGTGAAGGATCGGAGAACCAACTGCAACCGAAAGAAGAAGAACAACCAGCGGATGAAAGGGGGAGAGAGGTGAGGCGCAGAGATAATGATCGAGAATGAGCGTTATAATTTTAGGGTTTTGATGTTATTATATAGGAGGGTATAATGGTAATCCGGAGTCCTATTTAGGGAATTAAAAACTTGTAGTCCTATTTAGGGATTTATGTTTACTTTTAGTCCTATACACGACAATTACTATTTTTCTTTTCCTAGGGTAGGGTTGGGTGTTTTGGGGAGGTTTGGGGGTGGGGGTGGGGGGGGGGGGTCGGGGGATAACAAGAAAGCAAAAAAAAAAAAATAGACATTGAACCGGGCCTGGCCCGGCCCGGTTAGGCCTGGACCCGGTATCAACCCGGGCCGGTTCCGGGCCCAAGGTTTTGCAAAAAAAGTCCGTTCGGGCCCGGCCCGGAACCGGAACCGGACCGACCCAGAACCGAAACCGGACCGGCGCGGAACCGGAACCGGACCGGCCCGGGTCCATCCCTAGCTAGAAGCTACGGACTTATCTGATATGCTACACACTGTAGCATTTCAAAAAAGATCTTTAATTTTTATAAAAGCTCTTAAAAATTGACGTGTCAAACATACAACTAGAAGTTTTTAAATACTTTTTAAATAGTATAAAAGATAGAAGACAGAAACTTATGTCGGTCAAACATAGCATAACTCCGACAAAATGGTGATAAGAAAACAAAGCCCCCTTCTTTCATCCGTGTTTATTATTATTGTTAAACAAAACGTAGTCAAAACCTCACTTTCAAAGTGAAATTTTCACATAGCTATCTTCATTCTTGGATTCACTATAAACGGTAAAAACAAGGAATGAGGGAAAGAGTGAGACTAGTATTTACATAGATTCAACAGAGTTGGCGTTAACACGACCGCAGACGTCGCGAATTTCGAGCTGAACTCCGGGGGAAGGCGGCAAGTTGCTCATCTTCACCATGGCGGCGGCAAAATCAGTGAGGAAAGCACCAGTGGCATCCCTGTACCTCCTCGCGACGGTGCCGGTCGTGTTACTGCTCATCAGTTCTGCATCGGAAAAGAAAAGGCCTTGACCTTTGACTAACTCCTCGAAGTATCTCTTGTCGAAAGTTGTGGGTGTGGGATCCATGCCAACCACCGCTGTGCCGGGGGCAGTGCAGTTGCATGCCAAGGTGGCGGTCCTGTTGGCGTTCAGATTACCGCTCTGGCACAGAAGCACACACCGGGAAACCCCTATCGTGTGTGCTCCGGCCAACGCCACCATCTCTCGCTGGCTGAAGTTTTTATCTGCAAACTTCTGAGTTTGGACAGTGAGGTTGTCGAATGGTGCTGGAAGTTGGGTGTTTGCTCCGGTTAAATTCGCCGTTCGTGCATCACGCCTCGCGCCTAAGGTTATGTTGTAGGTTCGACCTGTGAACTGTTGAACAAAGAGTACGCAAATCAAAATGTAAATCTCCAAAAAAAACAAGAGGCTTTCTTTGTGTACAACTCCGTACATTTTTTAAAATAATACTTCCTCCGTTCCATAAAAGTTGCAACATTAGAATTTAAGCATTATTCACACGGCTTACTTTGACTACGATTTTCTAATAATATATATAATAAAAATATTATGTATAAAATATTAATAAATTTGTATTAATGTAAATTTCCAATATATTAACTTTTTTAAATGTTTACTAATACTTAAATAAATATAATTACAGTCAAAGTTGCGCGTTGACAAACGTGAAAGTGAAACTGTTGTAACTTTTATGGAACGAAGGATAGTACGAAATACGTAGTACGGTTTTAGACAAATTGCAAATGTACACAGGCGAAAAAGGGTGCACAATAACATGTACAAATGACATTTTCAAAAACATCAGTTACAAGTTTTATTTAGCGACTCTAATAAAAACATAGCACAAATAATTAAAGTACAAGGTGTAGTTACTTTATATCTAACCACGTACTAAGTACGCAGTATCTTTTAAATCTTCTGTGTCAAAATGTGTACCCTATCATGTTTTCAATCATCATTTTGCATAAAGATAACTAGATTTGCTAAAATATTGGCAGACGACGTTGGTAAACTGTGTAATATTTCTTGCCTTGGCTTACTAAATTACAAAATAAAGTACATATTTCAATGTGGAGTGGTCTCCTAGTAAAGAAACACAAAACTAAAACAAATGTACTATGACAATCTCAAGACATGAGTGGGTAAATTCGGTAACAAATTTTAATATTTTAATGGGCCTGTTTTGTGCAATTGTGCAGCATAGGGATGAAACTCAACCAAAGATTTGCATAATATTTGAATATTTCTATATAAAGCAGTTTGATATGTGAATACTAGAAAAAAGAACAGACAAAACATCAATAACTGCATCAAAATAAACAAGAACGAAATAACAAAATCTAATACTCCGTATACATTTGGATTGGATTTAAGAAATTAAAGTTATGGTTGTTCTTTACTTCTTTTACACATACAAGTTACAACTCTAGCTAAAAAGTAAGAAAAGTAAGAAAAGTAAGAAAATTAAAAGTAATACTCCGTAGAACATTAGAACAGTTCTTTTATAGTTCTTCCCAAAGGTTGAATCCCCATCCCCAAAGGGCCTACACCCCTGACCCCACAAGACTTTTGGGAGGTCGTAAGTCACAGTGATTTAATCGGCCAGCACGCAGGAGTTGTAACCTCCACACGATCGCTGTGAGAATCGTTCTTTTATAGTTCAACATTTTTTTTTGACGCAGTATAGTTCAACATAAAATGCATCTTACAGAGTATAAAATACGGAGCTAGTAGAACAACCCGTTCAAAGTAATACAAATACATGGATATTAAACACATCTACATTTGATACGGTCTACACACATAGTAACAACAGTAAGAGATTCCAGCACTATGATAGTTTCAACACAAATCTTAATAAATTATACTACATAGTTTTTAAGCGTACCAAAGCATCTTTCACAAGAGCCATCTTTCACGGTTGCCACCAAACTTTTTAAAGAGCCCGACTCCTTCTATGGAGTCATATGACTTACGTGGCATCACCATCACCACACAATTTGACTCTACATGATGATGCCCACATAGGCCATTTGACTCCATAGAAGAGTCCTTTCGAGTTGCTACACTCTTTGCCACAAAACATAAATAGATTGATATTTTGTGTGGATTTGAATTTTCTAGTATGATCTATTCTATTCTATTATATTTAAGTAAAGTCTTATTTACTCTAAAATGATCTGATCTAATAAATGTATGTTTTATGTGTATTTTGAAATTGTCGAGGTGTGCTCTAATTTGTTTGAGTCTGATCTAATTTGATCTGAAATTGATGAATAACAAAGTGAAAACGAAAACAAACTTACTTTGGCATAGGAATCGCGAGCAGCAATAGCCAAGACATCGGCACAAGAAACGGGCGTGTCGGAGCACTTAGTTTTGGCGTTCAGTTTGGCTTGCTCGATCACGCTGAACCCTCTCACCGAACCACTGTTCGGCGCTGCACCCTGTTCCCCTGTGAAGCTTGCGGTGTCGTTCAGCAGGATCCCACCGTCACATCCCTGATCGACCAACAATATCCATCATTTTTTATTAGTTTATCGTTAAATAAATAATTACTACTCATCATGGGCGGAGAAAGGGCACTGGACCAGACTGGGCCAGGACAAAGAATATTATTGGAAAAAATTTTATAAGAAATTTTTTACACTAAAAATATTGGCATTTTTTTAATTTGGGGTGTGCCAGGGCCTAGCCTGGGCACCCCCTAGCTCCGCCCCTGCTACTCATTTTGACCCATACATTTCTCTGTTTCAATAAAAAAAATTATGTGAATATGAATTTTCAATATGTGATTATAATCGTTTCTTTCTTATATGTACAAATCTTACTCATACCGAGTACTATTTTGGGTGCAAATGTATATGGTCAAAGATTGAATCCCCAACCCTAAGGACCCCACACCATGACTCAATAGAATTTTTGGTAAGATGTAAGTTACGGTAACTCAATCAGTCCAATAATAATAAGTCTTATACACATGCACATCAGAGATATAGTCCAACACGTAGAAGCTATAACCTCCCCTCTGATAGGTGCATTTTCAAACCGTGGTCAACAAAAGTTTCCTTGATCTAGATATGAATTTTCAATTTCGAATGGGTAGGATAAATAGCTGGCAGAAAAAGTAAAGTCAAGAGTGAGTGATGACAAGACCTATTGTCTCTATGCCGTTTTACTTTTCATTTTGTTTTTGAATCAATAAATCAAACAAATGATACTCCGTAGTTGTTAGTCCGTTTTTGTTATTTATCCGTTGCAAGTGGCCAAGTGGGGAAAGCATAATGCGACAATGTCTCGTGTGGTGTTTGTTAGATTTTATGTATGCAAAAAGTCCATAGAGATATTTAGTTGTCTTCGTTTTTCCAAAGTCATGTTATGTACGGCGTATTAATTGCTCAGAAAAACTTATATTCCAAAAAAAGAATTTTTAATTGTCATAAAAATATTATTCATATAAGTATATGTATTGGGAGTCCAACTCCTCTCCATTTTTTTCTCTCCATTTCCTTTTTTCTTCCTATCTATCACTACCTTTTTCTCTATCTTACTCATCAACATACCCCACAATAATTTCCCTCCTCTCTATCTCTCTCCAACTGGAAGTATCCGGTTACTGGAGAGGATCCAAACTCATGTATTGGGTATCTTCGATTTCTTCTTCTACTGTCCACTACTTTTATTCTTTTTATGCGTAGTATTTTTTATTAATAAATAAGAGAAAAATAATTAAAGTACCTCAAACTTTAAATGTTTGTCAAGTAAGCACTCCAAATTTGCATATGTAATTTAATTACCTCAAATTTTATATAAAAATTTATTTTAGCACTATGGTCATGTATTATTTCTTTCAAAAATGTCATATTTTGGTATTAATTTCATAATTTACAATATTTTAGCATTCATGAATATACAATTAACATTCTAAACTTCCATTCTAAAATAAATAATACTACCCCCACTCTATATAATACTCCGTACTACATAGCAGAATTTTTAATTTGCTATTTTATACTATCATATTATCCAATAACACCATAAGTTTACATTTTTGAGAAAAATATAATACATAATCATGATGCTGAAACAACTTTTTATATAAAATTTGAGGTATTTAAATTACATATGAAATTTTGGGGTATTTATCTCACAGTCTTTCCAAAATTTGGGTATTTTAATTATTTTTCACAATAAATAATAGTGTCCATAACATCTTATGTACGGAGTGTATAAAACAACCACAAATTTCCTTTTTTTTGTCATATCACAAAACAGTATTGTATTCCACGTTATACCCTCACAATAAATAATGGTGTCCATAACATCTTATGTACGGAGTGTATAATTTTTTTTTTGTATAAAGCAACCACAAATTTCCTTTTTTTTGTCGTATCACAAAACAGTATTGTATTCCACGTTATACCCTCCCACCAAATAATCATTTTTAATTCTTTCAAAAATATTAAGATTAGGTATTCATTTTAGCTAAAAAATCTCAAAAAGATTGCATTAGGATGACCATTGACTCCAGTGCATTTTAGTAATCTCGAATTAAATAATTCTGTTCGTGCAGATTTAGAAATAATGCATTTCAATGATAATGGAAAAACATTTGAACGATATATATATATTCGAAGTCTGTAAAAATCTTTTACCCTGCTGTACGAATCCAATTCATTTTATTTTAGGAAATTCACTTTCATTTTTAAAAAGCCTAAATCTTCAAATATTATTAAAATGAAGAGCAAAGTCGATATAATATTTTTTCAAAGTCGATCTAACCATCTAATTCATTTTCAAGATAATTACGGTGTAAAGTTTTGAAATCCATTACTATTAGCTAAAGTCGGCTGTACTAGCTAAATCATTTGATAATCAAGCTCGCAAGTTCTTTGATACTTGGTCCAAAAGTTGAATGCCCAACCCAAAGCCCCACCCCGATCCGATAGGATGGTGAAGAGGTTAACCACGGTGGCTCAGTCAGCAAAGCGGCAGTAGAACTTATACCCGTGCGCATCAGAGGTTCAGTCTTATTTCAGGTTCTGTAACTTCCACACGGTCGTTGCGGGTTTCGAACTTTGGTCACTTGGTCCAATTTTCCCACCGTTCGATCAACTGAGCTACCCGTGCGGGTCAAGTTCTTTGATACGTTAGCCAAGAGAGTTGGACTTTTTGGGTACACACTTTTACACACAGTCTGTGCAGGTTATTTTTTTTCTGGATAGACAACCTATTTTCCCTAAAATAGATTTTGTCTGTACAGACAAAAAAGCTTGGACAAACCGCGCGTGTGTAAAAGTGTGTATCCAAAAAGTGTGGACAATAAGTATTTTTGCTAACAAGAACACTTTACCCGCACGGGTAGCTCAGTTGGTCGAGTGGTGGGAGATTTGGAACAATGGACCAAAGTTCGAATCCCCGCAGCGACCGGGTGGAGGTCACATAACCTGAAATAAGGTTGGGTCTCTGGTGCGCACGGGTGTATGGACCTACTATCATTCTGCTAACCGAGTAACCATGACTAACCTCCTCACCATCCTGTCAGTTCGAGTGGGGGGCTCCTGGGGTGGGAGATTCCACCTTTTGGAACAATTGTTAACAAGAACACACAGACGTAGTACTTCCTCCGTAGGGCACACACACCTAATATTTTCTCAATCCCGTAAAATTACTCCCAAATTAATTTTGATCTAAGTGTGAATAAAATTGAAACGCCCGATCATGTTTAAGAAAAGAGAAAGTCAAATGAATTTTAATTACGCACAACCTTCCAAAAACGGAAAACCAATTTTTTGACACTATCTCAAAATAAAATAATACTGAGTACTACGTAAGTGATTAGAATGTCTTTCTAAAATGGTCTCAAATATGTTTAAAAATAAAGGAATTAGAATGTCGTTCTGAAACTGGTCTGATTTTTCATTGGCTAAAAGGTCAAATAGGTACATGAACTAACTTAAAGTGTTCAATTAGCCCCTTATATAGGAGGGTCTACTCGGCCGTCGCCAATTTAGGAAGTTCCCGGTGGATTTTTTTGATGAAATTTTTTGAGCATCTTCTTCATTAAGTCTAGTTTACTCATACCAAATTTTAGCTAAAACTTCAACCGAGAAGGCAGTCAAATGATTTTTTGAAGATAACTGCGCAGTTAAACAGCGCAGTACATTTCGGAAAATCATTTGACCGCCTTTACGATTTAATTTTTAGCTGAAATTTAATATGGGTAAACTAGACTTAATGAAGAAGATGCTAAAAAAATTTCATAATTTTTTTTTACCGGGAACCGCCCCAATTGACGACGGTCGGGCAGAACCTCCTATATAAGGGACTAATTGAACACTTTAAGTTAGTTCAGGTACCTATTTGACTCTTTAGCCATTTTTCATTTCTTGAACATTTCACTAAAATTATCTAGCTCTATTCCCTATAATTTTGCAATTATCCCTATAAAATAATTGAATTCATTTTATAATTCAATATCAATCACTAAAATAATTTTAGTGATAATTATTTGAGCAATATTGGTATGAGAATAAAATACACGGAGTAGATTACACTTACATCAACAAAGCAGTCGTGGAAGTGGAGACGGATGAGGGAGGCGCCCATGCGAGCCTCCGCGTTTATGGCGGCGTCCACAACTTCTTTCACGGCGGCAAAGACACAAGCTTGGGTGGAAAGCTTGCCGGAGGATTTGCCGAAACCAAAGTAAGACAACAAGTTGGCCGCGTCTAGTGTGTCGTCCAACCAAGCGGGGATCATCATGACTTTACTAAGCTGGCTGATTTGGCCGTCTGTGGCGGCGGGTATTGAGTTCTGGTAAACAGAGTAGCCAGCTAAGACCAGAGCTGCGCAGCTCACGGCCAATATGAGCCGAGACACACCGGAAACTGCCATGATCGGAGAAATTGACCGGCGTTTCAAGAATCAAGTGGAAAGAAGAAATAAGTGAAGGTTGAGACTTGAGTATTATTGGCCTCACTGACATGGTTGTTAAATAGGAAAAATGGGAAGTGGCTCAGACCATTCTTTATTACTACGTATTTGTTAGGTGCAAATTATTATTTTTAGAAAATGGAGATGGTCTCGACTTAATTTGACTTTTTGCCTACTGATTTAAATTCCAGAAAATTATTATTGCTGCCCAAAAATTGCCTTCAACTGCACGCAGAAGCGAATAATCTTTAAACAAGACTTTTATAGATAGAGAACTGCCATCGACAAAGATCAACGACACTATTAAAAAATGAGGTAGTTGTGTGGTTATTAAACAAGTAAATTTACTGGTATTAAATTGATAAAATAAAAATAAAATAATAATAACTTATACTCATTAACACTTAATACCTTTATTCATTCAAAAGTTCTCATTCACTATTCACATGGTCAATATAAGTCATTCTTTATCTTTTGTTTTACATATTAAATTCTAGAGTAAGGATTTGCGGCAAAACAAATAATCAGAATGTGAATATGAATCAAATTGCTTTATATTCGATCAAACATCGAAACAAAAAACCTCTCTTCAAATTCAACTTTGTTTGGTGTACACGAAATGTGTACATCTTTTGTGTACACATGTCTGTCCCCAACAGACAGGTTGTCTGTCTACAGAGTTGTCTGCTGAGGACAGACATGTGTACACAAAAAGTGTACACATTTTGTGTACACATTTCGTGTATACCAAACATTTTTCCTTCAAAATTTATACTGAGAGAAGAAGAGAAAACTAAACTACTCGTATGTTTGATGTTACAGCTTTCAACTGTTCCACGCGAAACTCGAAATTGAAGCCCACGTGGGAAACAAATTTCCTAAAATGATGCCATTTATTATACTCGTATCTGAAAGGCTCGTGGTCACCACGACAGTTCGTAACTACAAGGGATATACGGAGTATAAAAATGAGATATTCATCCCAAATCTGAGCTTCCTTGTACTCCGTATTAAAATTAGTTTTATTGTTACTACAAAATTTATGGATAAACAATACCGTTTGACAATACGTGTCACCGTTGATTTTTCACATTATTTTTATAAGCATTTTTTCTAAAATATTACTCCCTCAGTCTCGTTAGAAGGTTCTCACTTTTCTTTTTTGGATGTCTCATTAGAAGGTTATCATTTCCATTTTAAGAAATTATTAACAATCTTAAGTGACAAATTAATCATTAAATATTAAAAATAATACATTTATAACATCACAGTTATCAATACTAACTACATTATAATATATACCTATTAAAATTATTTCTCAAAATATACTCGAAGTACTTTATTTAATTATTGTCTAGATAATCATACCGTTTTGTTATGGGAACCTTCCAACAGGACGGAGGGAGTACCACGTATCAATTAAAGATAGGGCACCCGCGCCTTGCATCAGGATATACAGTTGTTGGCTTTTAATGAGAAAACTAAAATAGTTATATTTTGTTTGTGTTCTCCATGAACACCAAAGTTATTGATTTGATGATTTTTTTAAATATTATTGATGGAGTATATGGCCCGGGAACACCCGGCCCACAGACTCCTACTACTCCAGTAGAGGCCCAACAGGCCCAGAAGGCCCAACAGGCCCAAATCACGACTCCCTGAGTACCAAGCAGCCCGCAATACGCACCAGGGGTGCCTTCGGCCCCCTGGCCGAAGGCTCCAAACTATCACAGCATGGATATTTCGAACAAACAGAGGAACTGGGAGAAAACGGCGAAAACAGTAGCCCTCGGCACCTGGAGCCCTCGGCACTCAGGGGTCCTCGGCACTAAGAGCCCTCGGCTAGTCCTTTGCAGCCGAGGGCACCTCTCGCGACATGATATCCGCCTCACATGCGTACAGATCACCGTACCCTGTACAGACGTCCCATCCAACAGCCGCATTAAATGCGGCCACATGCGGCTGCCAACGCCAACCAGTTGAGGTGACCCCTCGGCCAATAGGCGCTTGACACGTGTCCCTGTCCGGCATTTATTGCTACTATAAATAACACCCCATTTCCCCATTTGTAACCACGCTGAAAACGCTCCACATTTATAATACACTCTCTCTCTACATTCACTTGCTCTGACTTCTCTCTAAGTTATTCTCAGCAATAACCCCTCGGATATATACCCCCCGGGTAGACTATCCATCATTTGGTGCTCTCGTTGAGAGGTCGAACAAATCGAGTAAGAAACCCTCCCCCTTCGCCAAACACTAGCCCTCTACCAAAAATGGTGAGAACAACACGTGCCAACTCCAAAAACGTGGAAGACAAGAACCTGGCCCTCGGCGACGTCAACGCCCCCGAAGCCTCTCACAGGGCTCCCGAGGGCGGTGTCATCGCTGGGCTGGAACAGGCGGCTGTCGACCTACGCCTTCAGATCCAACAGAATGCCCCCGATGCCCGCCTCGGCATCGAGGCCAAGAAGAAAAACCGGAGCGATGACCAAGTCAGCCCTCCGGTTCTCACCATCGACGTGCAATCGGCGCTCTCCGCCTTCATCCAAACGCTCACTCAGAACCCGGGTGCCTTCGGCACCCTAGCTCCGGCTCAACCCCAGGTTGGGGAGAACATCATACTTCCCCCTCTGCCACACCCCTTCGGAAACCCCACCCATCGGGTGAGGAACGACGAAGGGGTAGTGGCCCAAGATACGTCCTCCCAGGAAGTTCAGTCCCGGGACCGCCACCATGACAACAGAGAAAGGCCCCGCACTTCCGCCCTCAACCGGCTCGGAGGAGGGCCAGACCGCCGAGGGGTCCAAGACCGCCTCGGAGGGAAAGCACTCCAAAGGCCCCAGGAAAGCGGAGGGTCTGTCTCGAGGGCAGACGAGGAGCGTCCCCCTCGGGACAAAGGCAAGGCACCCCTTCATGCCAATGATGCTCGCCATCAGATCAACCAGGCCCACTCGGCCCAGGTTCGTTCGCAGGGGGCGGAGACCCTCCCGAAGGATCCCCGGGACGAGATTATTGCGGCCCTCCAACGCCGGCTTGACGAAATGGAGTCCAACAAAGCTCACGCCACCACCTCCACCCCTCACTCAGACCTCAAATACGAGGCCATGATGGCCAAAATGGAGGAATTACAGAAGAAGGTGGCCGAGGGCTCCGGGGAACCCGTCAGCCAGCTCCGGACTCGGACGCCATTTACCCCAAGGGTATTGGCGGCCCGGATCCCGGAAAAATACCGAGGGCAACACATACAGCCCTACAACGAGAAAACGGACCCCCAGGAACACTACAGCAAATACCAGAACAGCGTGATGATGGTAGGGGCGTCAGACGAATATTTGTGTCGTTGGTTCCTCTCCACCTTAGAGGGGCCGGCATACGAATGGTTCAACAGGCTGCCCGAGGGCTGCATTGATTCATGGCAAGAACTCGCCCAACGATTCTTGACACAATTTTCCGGGAGGCGTCGCACAAGGAAGCACTTCTCCCACCTCCTAACAATACACCAAAAGAGGGATGAGACCCTTCGGGACTTCCTGGAGCGCTGGAGGACGGAAGCCGACAAAGTCGACGGTGCTGATGACGGGACCCTCCTGGCCCTCCTGCAAACCGTCATCCGCACCGGCAACTTTTCAAGGAGCCTCATCATTGAACCCCCCAGTGACTACATAAGGGCTTTGCAGCGGGGGGACCGATACACTGAGGCCGAGGAGGTGGAGAAATATCACCAGCATCCGGATCAGCAGCCCCCGAGGGCTGACAATAAGAACAACCGGGGGCCGGGGGCTCCTCCAAATCACCCCAAGTCTTCAGGACCCTCTGATGACCGCCCTCGGCAAGGCCAAGCCAAGCCCGGGGGAGGTTATAAGAGCAGCCCTAAGACTTGGGCGCAGCCCATCCTCCTGGACCGCCCCCGGACACAATTGACGCACCCCGTCAGCGTCATCCTTGATTTTTTCGAGGAGAGGGGCCTCGTTGAGCGCGACTCTCGCGCACCCCCAGAGGTACATGCTATCAACCCTCAGTTCCCATACTGTCGCTTCCATCGGCACTAGGGGCACAGAACCGATGACTGCCAACAGCTAAAGACGGCCATCGAGAGATTAATACAAGCGGGACACATGTCCCAATTTGTTCAGAGCCCTCGGCAGGAGGGACCTTCTCATCAAGGGCCTCCCCGAGGGCACCACACGAAGGTGAACGCTTGGGTGAACCCGAATACCATCCCCCTCGGCAAGAAGAGGGAGATCGGGAACTTGGAAGAAGAGGAGGAGGAATACCCCCACTACCAGGAGAAAAAACGCCACATCCTCATGATCACCGGTGGCAATACAGGGGGCGATTCCACCAGCCAGCGAAAGAAGTGGGCTCAATCGCTTTACGTGGGGGAAGTCACTCATATGCCCCCGGTAAAGCGAGTGAGGGAGGAACCCATCACCTTCACCAACGCAGATCTCCCTCCTACTTCTTCTCCTCACAGGGATGCCTTGGTGATTCGGACTGAAATAAACGACACCATCATTCACCGAACTTACATTGACACGGGCAGCTCCGTCAATGTAATGTACCTCAGCACCTTCAGAGAGCTGCATCTGGAGAGGGGGTCCCTTCGGCCCATTAAGACCCCTCTTGCCGGCTTCACCGGCGACACTATTGATTCCGAGGGGGTAATAACCCTCCCGGTGATCTTCGGCGATGGGCTCCATAGAGCCCAGCTCGAAGTGGAGTTCGCCGTCGTTAACATCGACTGCGCCCACATCATTATCCTCGGCTGGCCAGCCCTGGAGGACCTCGAGGCCATCATCTCCATGAGGCACCTCTGCCTCAAGTTCCCCGCCGAGGGGGGCATTGGCTACTCCCGGGGGAATCAGAAAATCGCCCGCGCCTGCTATCTTCAAGTCACTAAGAAGGTAAGTAAGACGGAATTCCGTGTTGACACCATCACCGGAACCATCGACCAAGAAGAAAAAAGGCCGAGGGCTGAACCAGCCAAGGACGTAGAAGACTTTGCGCTCGATCCGGCCCAGCCGGAGAGAGTCGT